CGCCGCTCTGGTGTCCCGGGAGCTGTGTGAGCACGTTTCTGGGAATGTGGTGTGTTGCTGTGGAGATGACACTTGCCATCCACGTTTCTAATGGCTTGAAACAATTGACTTTGCAATTAAAACAAGATCTATCCTGTGATAACCCCGAGGAAATAGTTACTTACTAAATGAAGTCGGGGAGGGGGGCGGGCAGGAAGTGGATTTCATTGTTGGGCTCTGCTCGGGTGGCTCCAGTTTGCTCTGTGCCCGTCCTGCTCGGTTTTGTTTGTAGTGCCCTGTTCCATGTCTGCTCCCTGTCTCAAAAACCAGAGCAAGCAGGCTCCGTTTTGCCTCACTCCTGTCACCCAGCGCGGTTGTCTCGAGGACATTTATTCACAGTGCACCATCAGTCCAGGTTTTGCTAATGCGCTCCACAACCAGATGTGAACTGATTCAATGCCAGCATTTTACTATCCACTGCTGCTTTTCCTTCCCAACCTACACACCTTTGCCACAAGTTCACATGTGAAGGAAGCATATGTCCCAGCTTCATGCTGCTTTCCTTGCTTGCTGGCAGCGAAAATTGTTTGACCAGCCCTCAGGTAGCTCATTTAGCAACCTGAGTGCTAGCTGCAACATTACCGAACCAGGTTTTCTGCCTTAAACTGATGCTATGCAGGCACGATCCCTGCAGTCCCGGGCACTGCTGGGCTGGGAACACCCCGAAGCCTGGGGGAGGGTCCTACAGTCCTGCGGCTGGTGGCAAAGTAATGGGCTGTTGGATTTGGAGGGGCTTACACGGGACTCCTCACCAGGGGTATCCAAGCACCTTGCAGTTGTGTGTTAAACAACATGACCGACGTCTGTCGCGCAGGCTTTGTTCTCATCCTTTCCCCAAGGGGAAAAGCAAGTGCAGCAAGGTCTTGCTTTTGCTGTTCTCTTTCCCAATTCAAACAACATACAGGTTTTGCTGTGGCTCTGTGCAGAAGGAGGCAGCACAAAGCACTCTTGTGGGGAGTGGGGAGATCTGGGGGCTGCTTTGAACTGAGAGGAGCTCATTTCACAGTGGAGGCAAACAGGGTTTGTTGGGCACTGCTTTGTGCTGGAGGGGCATAACCCTTCCCGCATGCTTCCTCTGTTGAGGTCCTTGCAAATAATAACAATATAATACAAAAGAAAATGAGTGAGAATAATCCAGTGATCTTTGCTTTCACTCTCGTGATGGCAAAGCTGATGCACAGCGAGGCAGTGCCACGGCTGTGGCTTTCGCGGCGCGGGGGAGGGCCCTCGAGCTCCCCGGCTGTGAGCGGGCGCTGAGCAGGTTTGGGGCTGCCCCATCCTTCCCTCGGTGCTTGGCCACGGCTGGTTGAAGCTCCTGGCCCCGTGGGTTTCCCATTTCCTTATTGCAGCTCTCGCTGCCTCTGTGCAGCTGCTCGGGACACATGTTCAGCTCTCTGCTGAATTCTGTCTTAAATTATGGAAGTGCTGTCCTTTATTTTTACTGTGTGCTGTGGGTCTTTTTCATCTTCAATGGGCTTGGGGAAGGTGGGCTGTTGGAGGAGCTGGCGCTGCCAGGATGGAGACTGCCTCTCTTTGGGAATGGCTCACTGGATTTGGATGCATGCAAAGCCCAGCTCCTCCACATGGCCACAAATCCCAGTTATCCCTGAGAGAGGAGATGGGAGGGCTCATCAAGAAAGGTGGCTGGAGTTGGTGGGCTGGCTGCCTGACCAGCCAGTCGAGCTACCAGTATAGAAGGGGTGCATGACATTGGGGCATCTCTGTGTGTGCACCCTGCTAGCCTGCATGTGAGCTGGGGCTGATGGCCACTCTGGGGAATTTGAGCTGGACCACAGGCCTCGGTCTACTCCTGAAATGCAGTGCAGTGAGTTAGAGGAAGGAGGCCTGTTACAAAATGCTGCTTCTTCTGGTTACCACAGAGACCAGCACGGTTTCAGAGACTGAACTATCCTTGGCAGCAAAAAGTGCTAATTCAGCCTTTCCTCCCACTTACATCAAGGCTCCATTTGGCCTGAAAAGAGCTGTGCGGGGCAATCCGTCTTCTTGCAGGCACCCTGGGAGAGCAGGAGCTGGGAGGCAAAGCAAGGTTGAGAACACAGTGTTTGGGCACTGGGGGTGGGAGGGATGCTGTGAGGGGGTGGGATGGGGGGCTGCGGCAACACTCATCAGTCAGGGGAGATCTGGGGAAGCGGGCAGACAGCGAGGTCTTTGGAAAGCGAAGTAGGAGTGTGAAGACAACTTTGGAAAGAGGAGGAGCAGGGTAGGCTGCAGTAATTCAAGAGGTGGGAGAGAGCACTGTTGGCAAAGCTTTCCTCCTACAAGGATGCAGATGGCAAACCCTGACCATCCTGTCTACCCTCGGTGTGCTTTAGGGTCTGAGTGCTCTGATGGGGCTGATGCCTTTTTTCAGGTGCCCTTTGGGGTAGCTAAGGGCAAAGCAAACCATCACAAGCCTCGTTTCTCACGAGCTCCAGCCCATCTGCGGGTGCTGTAGGTGGTGGGCAGAAGGCAGCCCAGGCAGGTTAAATCCAGGGGCTGAATGCTGCCACGGGCTGGGCACGAAGGCTGAGCGTGCTGCCATCCCGCAGTCAGTGCTGCTAACGGTGCGCTCTGGGCTGCCAGGAGCACTGTGGGTCACAGCTGCATAAATAAGCACAAAAACGGGGAGTTTTGGAGCAGAGAAAGTGCTGCGGGGAAGATGAACAGAGAAACATGGAAGCAGCTGGCTGAACTATTCCAGGTCTGTCCCAGTGCAGCACTGTGACTTCAGGATACTTTCATATGATGGATTAGAGCTGAGTGCTTCTCCTCCTTGATGGTTTTCTCAGATTCCCAGCCTTCACAGTTGGCACCAAAAAGCAGAAGAATCTGTAAGGACCAAGACACTATTTACATTGATTGGTGTAAATCAGAAGTCATTCTGATAGTGCTGAGTTTGTGCTGCTTTAGCAGAACAGGATCTGGCCCATGCTGTTACAGTCCTATGAAGTTTTAACCAGTGATTTGTTTCAACACCTCTGACCTCACAAAGATATAACCCAGTGTTTGCCCAAGCATTGCCTTCATGCTGAATGTGACGTTTTCCAGCATACAAGAATAATAAGTCTTGATAAATGCAGGAACACCTGGGAGACAGAAGAGGAGGCTGTACAGGCAGAGCTCTTTGAAACATCATACACATTTGTTAGAAATATGTGTCTTGCTGTGCCTTTAAAGACATGCAGGTGTAGTTAAAATTTAAAGGTAATTTTGATGTCAGGCCTGAGGGTACTGAAGGCTTCAAATGTGATTCAGTATTGAAAGCACTGTCCTAATTACTGGCTTGAGATTTTATTCTTCAGGAAAAATTAAAATGAAATCTTGTTGCTGCTAGGACTCAAAGACATATTTCGGCATTCTGCTCACTGTGGTTTGTGCTAGCGTTTCTCCTGTTTAATCTCTTGGCTTTGCTATGTTTGCCTTTTAAACAAAAAAGTTCACAGATAATAAGAAACTGGGAAAACACAAATGGAAAGCAAATAAGCTTATTCAAACTTGTATTTTAAAATTGCATATGTTAATTTTTACAGGCAATAACTGCAATCCCAAACTTAAAATATCCTGCCTGTTAGTCAGAGGCAGAATGTCTACAGTGTGGCTGCGTAACAAGTTATTTCAAAATGGAGGCAAAGCTTTAATTTGTTATTAACTAACAATTTTCCTGTGCAAAATCTAGCTTTATGCATGTAAAATAGCGCAAGTCAAGCCTGCCATTAGGGCAGTCAGGTCTTCCTTTTGATTGCCCGCTGCTGCTGTATCCCCAGTTGTGAACAGTTCTCAGTGTTGCTCTTTTGAGTCAAGAATGACAGTCTTGTGGGGCTGGAAAATATCTGCTCTGCACTGTTCTGCCCCTGCTCCCTGATGTTTTGTTGCATGTGTAGACGGGGCATTCTTGGGTTGGTTTCTCTGGGAAAAACTCATGTTCAGGAAGAGAGCACCCTGTTAGGAAGAGCACCCCTCGTGACGAGTGATCAGAGCTCCCGTTCCATGTTGCTGTTGCCTTGAGTTTGGATGGTACTTAAGCGTGGTTCTGGAGGTAATGCAGAGCTCTTTCTTTTGGTCAGGGGGTCTGTGCTGAGCCATGACAAATTATTTCTCTGTCCTTGGTAGGGCCCTTGGTTGAAGCAACAGGGCAGAGCTGCAGAGGTGGCGGCTGTTCCTGCCTGGCAAATCCAGCAGATTTATCGTTCACACCGATGCATAGATATAATTGCTCTGAAGCTTTGCCTCTGAAGACCTCTAAAACCTTATTCCTGTGTTTGCCCTCTGCAAGTATCCACTTCCTGAGATTAGTGGCCAGGGCTGTTCTAGAAACAGGTTTAGTCACAGTTAAAACTCAGCCGGCAAGCTCAGTGTCGTGCCTGATGCGTTCACAGTCCTAGCTGTGTCCTGAGCCTCAGCTTCCTAAATCTTCATCCGAGCATTTTTTCATGTGACAGTACCTTGCTAGCTTGTTTCATTTGAACCTAGTTCTGAGCCTTTGAATCCTGGAAGGGAAGCTAGCGTCTAGATTTAGACATGTTTATCTTGCAATTTCACAGAAAAATTCTTCCTGGATACCACAAAATATAACACAGTCCAGGGGTTTTGTGCTCAGTAAAAGAGGGAAGGCAAAAATTAATCTGGGAGAATTCTTTGTTTTTAAAGTCTTCCTTTGCTTTGAAGCCAAGCACACTGAATCAAATGAGAGAGCTCTTCCATTTGGCTTCAGTGAACCTTTGAGGTTGCCATTTTTGCTGACAGTGGCTGGAATGTGTGTGCATATCTGTTTCTGTTTGTACTGCAGGAGTCGTTCTGCACAGAGTCTGTGGTCAGATGGGCAGTGAGAGCTGGGCTGGCTTTCTCTGGACAGAAATAGTGGGTTTTTCTCTCTCTATGACTTTTTTTTTTTCCTTCTGTGGGGAGCAATGTTTCTGTGGTAGGAAATCCCAGACCATGACATCCTCTGTGTTTTGTTTCAGGCATCAGAGGGTGTTCCCGTGAAGTATTTCGAGAACTTGGAGGACCTGATAGAATTTTACAAGAAGGAGAACATGGGTCTGGTATGGCACCTCAAATATCCAGTGCCGCGGGAAGAGGAGGAGGCTGCAGATGAGCCAGAGGAGGATGCTGGTAAGAAACCCATGATGTGACTTGGTGATGCGGATCCTTGACACTTACTCTGGACTGGAGATATGCAGTGCAGGCAGGGGGATTAGAGCATGTTATGCAGTAAAATGAAGCAGGGCATAGAGAGACCTGAGCTGGCAAGACCTTGAGGCAGTGAGGCCGCATGGCTCTGGGGTGGTACTGCATCTGGAGCATCAATTTATCTCACCCGAGGGAATACACTGAGACTCTCTGCAGAAGTATATTGCATTAGGTGCAGGACTGACTCCTCCGTTGTCCTTTATCTGGACTCAGCCTGGTTTACGTCCAGCCATCTCACGTGTCTCTGCACCCCTCTCCCTGCACTGCATCTGTAGGGCCACTGACTCAGCAGCAGAGGTGATCCCCTAGAGACTTGGAGCACATCTCTCTGCAGCCACACACCTGCAGCTGCTGTGGGTCTTGGTCATCTGAAACTCAGCCCCCCTCATCAGCTCTGATCTAGAGGATGTTTCTAACAGTCATAACCAGAGAGCACAGGTCCTGCAGTGGAAGACAGTCTAACTGTAAGCTGAGAGGCAGATGTATGGTGAAGAGGAGCGACTGGCATCATCCCAACTATTTTATATGAAATGTCACTGTGGGTTCCTGACATTCACTGGTCTCAGATTGTTCCTTGGATTTTTCCTGGATCATCCCTTGGATCTGTCATTGTTCTCCTGAATCCCAGGGGAAGGTCATGCCCACAGAGCCATCCTTCCTGTCCTTTCTGACGTCTGTCCGGAAACGATGAGCATTACAATAAAACTTGTCTGAAGGACATAGTCCCTGTGACAGACGGACAGGCATGTGCACTAAAGCAGATTGATGTGCCTGTGTACAATTCTGCAATCCGATGGATGTCTAATAGGAGCTGGAAGATTTGGGTATGCAATTCTCATGAAGAAACAGAACAAAATTTTGCAAAGCTGCTCAGGAAAGATGTTCCTGTTTTTTGGCCAGCTGCACTGAGTCTCCAGCTCTCAGGGCGGGGGAGGGAACTACAGCAAAAATAATACACAGAGAGGCGAGCAGCAGGGAATGAAGTTCTAGCCAAGACTAAGAGCCTTTAGATGAAGAGATATTAGCACGGGGGCTGGGCTGTTCACATACAGAATTTAATTTTGTTAAGACACTTCGGTGCCATCGTGCTGGAGCCATGTAAGGCCTGCAGATGTCTGGCCATCTTACGCCTAGAATTGCAGAGGTGGAAGATGAGCACCCAGATACCCTGCAGATGCACCACCCAACTGTGCCATTGCTCAGTGCTGCGGTGGCTCTGTGAATCACAGCTTCTGCCCAGGAGCAATGGATCAGTTGAGGGTATCTTTTTGTAATGAAAATTCCACCATTGGGAAATAACCAAACAAAACCTCACAACTCAAACAGCTACATATGACAGGTGTAGCCAAGTGTTGGAGCAAGTTGTATGAAAGGAAAGGCAACCATGGTTGGGATAAATGGAGATGAAGCCACTCTTGCCCCAGGAGAGGGAGGTATGGTGAGCAGGAGGATGACAGAGCAGGAAAACCCTTTGTGCTTCCAACTTGATGCCCACAAGACAAGGCAGGATACTCAGCCCCTCTGTGTTGGGTTATGGGGTGTATGTTCTCTGTGTTTGCTTACTTTAGCTGCTCACTTCTTTCCATTAGCAGCTTCTGGTGCTCTTCCTGTCATGCCCCTTCATCCATCCTGCCCCAGTAGCAGATCTCCATGATAATGGTAATGATGTGCATGAGCTACAGCTATGTTCTCTGAGTGTTATAGTGACAGTAACTAATTAACCTTCACAGCCACTGTGCAGATGGGACAGTCAAACTCAGATGAGGTTACACTGCTGGGAAGAGGCATATGCTGCCTGCACACGAGGTCCAAGCCTGGCAGCTCAGCCCGCTGGTCTCACACCACTGACATCCCTGAGAGCAGGGCTGGGCTGGTATCGAGCCCTGAGCTTTCCAGCTCTGAAATCAGAGCCCCTTCAGAAGGGGTGGGTTCTGCAGCGACTGTGCCACTGCGGTGCAGGCTCTGCCCTGCCTGTGAGTGAGGGGGAGGAGGTCAAATTGCCATGTTGGGATGACTGTGCCTTTCCCTTCCTCTTTGCCAGACCTGGTACCCACGCCTCCTATCCTGCCCCCACGCAACATCCTCATGTCATTGCCGATCAGCGAGACAAAGGAGGTATCTTCTCTCCCTGAAAACTCCAGGGTGGCAGATGTTAATAAACTGTCCCTTTCTGAGACACTACTCCAGCGACTGCAGTACCAGGACACGAGCAGGTGAGGATGGCAAGTCTCAAGGCTGCAGAATCAGCCTTCAGCCCAGCTCTGAGCTTTCTGGGCCTCTCTGTTTGGGACAGCTGACAACCTATTTGATTCAGTGAAACTACTCCTCATTTATATTACCAAATGAAGAACAGAATCACATCTACAGTGTGTTGGCTACTCTTTACAGTCCAGCTGTCATCTAGAAAAAAATATTTTTCTGAAGTATTAAAATCATCAATAGACTTCCTCCACTGAGGTATAGTTTTCCGATATAAAGGATGGTAATGTCTGAGAGAACTTGATGTACTAGCCGTGTGCGTAAACTACAAGTTGTATCAGAAAGCACCGGCCAGTCCTCAGAAAGAACAAACCTGTGTGTGGATTTCCAGGAACACGCACTTACTGATTTACTCCAGCTACAGGTCTGACTCATGTTGTCCCACGTGCTAGCTGTATCAAATCTGGGCATGCACTGAAGCCTCAGAGGAAGCTGCATGACATTTAATGACCAGATCTGCAAAGTTTAAAAATAAAAATAAAATCAGAAGGCATGCTTGTTGGCAGGGCAGTGGGAGGCTGTAAGCAAGCAGTGGTTGTGCGTGGCAGCACAGGTCCTGTTGTGGTGGCCCAGCAGCAGCTGACTGACTGGGAGAACCCCAGTTTTGCTCAGCTGCCTGCACCATTTCATCTTCTAAGCAGCCAGCTGGGACTTTCTGCATTTGTCAGGGCACCAAAGGACACACACAGTCTTCCTGATTCATCCTTCCTTGTGATCCAGGCACCACAGAGACAGGGAGGGAGGGGAGCATCCCTTACAGCTCTGTGGTCTCAGACCCCCCAAGACTGTTTTGGATTGTTTGGAATAAAATCTTCAAAGTGGGACTTGGTGAGGTGAAATGGAGCCTTCATCTCCCCAGATCCCCTGAGCTGCTGACTATTAGCAGCCTCGCAGCAGCATGGCTTTACCTGCCAAGGCTAACAATGATCCCACCATGGCTTTGGCAAATCCAGGCATCACAAGACTTCCCCTGGCACGGTAGCTCAGCAGTCATGGAGGAGAGGATTTGGGGTGGGGAAGGAGGAGGAGGAGAGGGTGTCAGTAGTGTGATGGGGCATCCACAGTCCAGTTCTGAGAACTGCATATTTACACTGAAGTCCAAGGTAAACTGCCCCCCATCTGTCTGTGCTGGCAGTGGAAGTCTCAGAAAAACAATACAGCTGTCTGATATTTGGGAGAAGAGAGAAGAGCTGGCTTTTGACCTGTCTCTTTCTTTCACAGTGTCTCTGACGAGCATCTTAAACTCATCCAGGATTACCTGCGGGTTCACATCATCAGTGACTTTGAGATGGTGCAGACTGGCTCAAGCAATCTTCCTCAGCTGAAGAAACTACTTACACTTCTTTGCAAAGGACTCTTCAGGTAACTAGAGGATGGTTTTCAGAGATCGGAGTATAATCCTGTAACACTGTAGTCTAATGTAGGTTCCATGTGCGTGCATTGAGAACCTGCATTTCTGGCATAGGAAATTGGCTTATCCTCAAAAACTTTAAATTTAGATCTCATGACCTGTGATTCTGGTCTAAAGATGTGAAATCTGTATAAAAGACATAGCTCTGACAGTGAAGTTTCCCTGTAGGCGGTTTCAGTCAGTGGAGTATTATTTTTTTATGCTTTGTTTAGAAAGAAACAAAACAAAAAATGCACTAACCGATTAACTGCATAATTTGGTAATGTATAAATGACACCCACAGAATTGTCAAGCACAAGTCATTTATGGAAACAAGCACATATTGGTGTATAGCTGTGTCTTAAACACTGATTTTCCTTCCCACTAATGCACTGTGAACCCGGAGTGATTCCACTGGTGTCAGTGAAGTCCAGCTCAAATGAAAAGAGAAACAAGCCTAGACTCTACAAATGTTACCTTTCCTATTTATAGACCTTCCAGGTCCCAAATAGGAGAAATCCGATAAGGAACTAAAACCTTACAGAGCTCCCTCTTTCTCTGGTGGAAGGATGTGATTTCCCCCCTTGCTGCTTGTAAGCAAATGAGATTAGTCCGCACTTCTGCGGAGATATTAGAGCACGCTGTGGCAGAGGGCCCATACTTCCATACTTGTATCTGTGGCTTGCAATGTCCTTCTCTCCAGTGTATTTAGAAGTGAGGCTGGTAGTGCTACTGATCTTATTCTAGAGCTCACCAAGGCTGAAGAAAGGGCTAAAATGAGGGGTTGATACTGCTGATTTGCTTGACTTTAACCCATGGAAGGAAGGCGAGTGAGGTGCTCAGCCACTTGGGACCATTACTCCGCTGAAGTGGTGGGCCCTGTGCATGTTTTACCAGGCAAAGGGGAGGGATATGCAGCCCTGCTCCTTCTGCCAGAAGCCAGCTGCCCACAGACAAGTCCCTGACAGGACTGAGGACGGGTTCTGCAAAGACCTGCCCTTCTTCTTCTGCACCCTGCTTGAGGGTTTTGCTTCTCTACGCCCACAGAGTGGGGGACCCAGGTGGCTAGCTAAGAATAAACCTGAACAATGGAAACTAAAATCTAATGAAATCACAAGTGAGAGTTCTGTGTTACTAAAATACCTCCAGTACTGCTCTTCTGATGATGGCTGGCTTTTTCCATTTCCAACTTCTTATTCTACGGCGCCTTACCTGGGTTTCACAACCCTACTCCTCATAAATGTACATGGGATGGCAAGAAAGGAGATGCAACAAGTCCACAATCCTCTCGAGTGCTGGGACACCTTTTCCATTTCCAGATTTTCTACAGGTTTTTTTGGTGTCTAAACTTTGCAAAGAGTCATCCTAGAACAGAGCTGGGTGAGTTCTGCTGGTGGAAGCCTGCTGAGCACAGGGACACTGCACCACCACAAACACATCAAAGGGCAAGCTGCCTGCCTTCTGTCCTTCTGGTGGCTGCATGCAGCTATGCAGTTGTATGCCCTCATGCAGTTCTTCCCCCTGCTTCCCCAGCATTTTCTCCCCAAACCTGCATTATTTCAGTTAGATGGAGCTGCCTTCTCAATTTTTTTTGTGAAGGTCCAGAACTGCAGGTTGTTTTCAGTCCCAATCAGATCTCTCTGAGGAACATCTCCCTCTCTATTCAGATTTTCACATGAATCTCTTCCATCCAACTAAGGAAGCTATTTGCTTAGCTTCAGCTGGCTAGTAGTCAGGTGCTTGGGTGTCTTATTGTTTTCTGCACTCTTAATCTCTGAGGTTGTCCGGGGTTTTAGTTTACTTCCCTTATCAGACTTCTGAACTCAAATTTCATCAGTGGCATTACCTAAATTTTTATTTACCTCAGCTTTCTTCAGCTGTGCAGGGATTCCAGCTGAATGGGCAGGTCATTCCTAGGCTGCTTCTCAGTGGCTGTGTCCTCTTTTTCTTAATAATGTCCAATTTTATTTTTTTTCACAATATTTGAGAATAGGTTAAAAAACCAAACAACAAGGAGAAATGTTAATTGGCAGAGCTTGAGCTCTTTCACCAGAATTGAAGCTCCTTTTTATTTCCTGGCACTGGCAAGGGTTAGGAGTGTGCAGGCAGACACTGGCTGTGGCTGAACTGACCCCAGCTGTTTGAGCCACACCTTTTTTGCTGTGAATCCGAGGTTTTTGCGATGCTGTATTCTGTCCCCTTCCAACTTCCCAGAGCCCAGCTGTGCCATCTTTCAGACACACTGCCACCACTGAAAAATGAGCATCCTGATGCCCTTCTGACCGCTGGTGTTAGCAAGGTAGAGGGCATGCATACTGGAGCTGCTCAGTGATTAGGAGAAAAGAATTTATAGCGAACCATGGTGTTGGGAGAGGAGTTGTGCAAACTGTCTGTGAACAGTCCGTGCCTCTTGCAGTTCGTGTATTATCCACGGGCCAGTGCAGGACCCATTTCTGACCAAGGAGCTCAAGCATGGCTGGGCCACAGCAGACCGGGAGGGCAGAGCTTGTGATCTCTTCCCCTCACCCTCCTCACCACTGATCTGATTCAGCAAAGATCAGACCCAAATGTGCGTTAGAGACATTGAAAGGTGGTTTTAACTCTGCTGGAAGCTGCTGCTACCTTCTAGGGGAAGCTGTGGCCAAGGGGGTCAGGACAGCCATGGCACTTCATATCAGAGCCTGGGAGACAACGGGACAACCACTCTTGGGAGAGGCTGTTCACTCTGACAGCTCATATACTAAAAAGGAAACAAAACAGAGACTTGTAAGGCTGATGGGTACTTTTGTGTGAAGCATTCAGTGCTAAAAGAATTTGGCATACAAGAGTTTCCTTAGTCAGGGGAATCCTCCAGGGGCTGGAAAGCTGACTCATGGAGAGCTGGGTGCCAGTGCAGCAAAGAGTGGGGACTACCCATGTGAGTGGACTTTGTTAAGAGTTTCCCACCAGCTTTAAGTGAAAAACACTAATAGTGGCCTATTTGGTGTGCTGCTGTCTAAAGCCACCACACGGACACTGCTCTGCATGCTCCCGTTTATTCTGCCTCACCGGATAATTTGCACATAGAGCTTTTAAGGCAACTTTTCAAGCACTTGTGCAATTGTATGTAGACCCACAGGCTTCTGACACATCAGTGAAAATCACTACATATATTTTATTTATACTATCAGGAGAAGAAAACAAAAGGAGTTATAAGTGCAATTAAAACCACTTTGTGGTTTTGGTGAGTTTGAACGCCTGCAGATACTCTTCCCCCATCCTCGTATGCATGCTACTCTTTGCACCATACAGTAAACAGAGGGCAGTTTTCCCATGAGAAATCATTTCTGAACTGCTTCAAGCAGCTGCTGCTCTTTGTTTTCTAGACATGGCCTACATGTCCTGCACTCTTGGTCACAGTAAATATCCTTTCATTCTTTTCAAACTGAACTTCACCCAACACTCCTGCAACTGCCTGCAGGCTCCTTGGTTCTGACTCCATGGCTGCAGAAATCAATGGGAGTCTCAGGATTGGGGCCAGAGCTGTCTGCAGTGACCCTGGTCCTTGGTGATCCAAAGCAAAATAGTGGTGCTGGAAGACTAAGTTTAGCAGATCCAGATTCCTACAAGTGTCTTGTACTTCTGTGTGCCCCATGGCAAGCCTTTCAGACAAATTTCAAATACGAGTGCTTAATTTAGGCAATTAATCATCCATGGTTCAGCACCTAGACAAATATCTAATCTTCAGACAGTCAGGCATACTTTCGCTTTGGAGCACTTTCCCCAACAAACAAGAATTAAAATCCGGTCCATTCAGACATGGGAAAGTGAGGGAAATCATTAATATCCACTGTTGACTAGGCACAATGCAAGCATCCTAGCACTGCTCCCCACCATCACCTTCCTTTTGACCTGCTCTCCCTGCCTGCTCTTTCCGTGATAAGTTTTGTCATTACTGCAGCGCGGCTTTCTGTGCCAAATCCATACAACAGCGTTTTGACAAACGAGCATCCTGTGGAATCTAATTGGGAAATGCTGAAGGAATCTCATTGTAACCCGCACACGGTTCCCGTTCAAGAGATTAAAGGCTGGCTCTTCCACCCACTCTCTGTGCCTGGCCCCTCTTTATCGTGTGAGGTGAAATCTCTAAAAATTAGTTTCCTCTTCACACAGTGTCCCCAGCATCCTGCGTCAGCCTCAGCAGCTGCACAAGGCCTGTGCAAAACCAAGCTGCTCCTGCCACTGTGGTGTTCAAAAGCACCAAACTTCACTGGGCTTTGAGATTTTTGGGTGGACTTTGAACTATGAGTTGGCATAGTTGGGTTGACGCTGGTTTCACGCAGTGTCCTCAGGTTTGGCCCCGACTGGGACATCTTTCTGGGGAGATTTAGGAAGTTACCACCTGCGAAGCAAAACCAGAGGAACAGCCGGTATGCCCGTGCTTCAGCCATTGCAAGGCAAAGTCAGCTGCCTAGCTCTAAGCAGCCTTCCTCAGCAGTGCTGCTAAGGCAGCTGAGGAATGCTCTCATCACCCATACCACCAACTCAGAGAGCACTAAGCAGCAGAGGAGAAGAACATGACACCCGGCGAGCGCAGGCCTCGTGCGGACGCGTGCCTGTAGTCTCTGCTGTGTGGCTTTGTCCAAGGAGACCAAGTGCTGACCTCCCCAGGGACCCGACCGCAGCCTTAGACCCCTGCTGTGTCTCTCTTCCCAGTGAAGCTTCTAGGACTCTGCCATCTCTGGAGTCCATCCAAAAGGTGTTTGAGCAGCAGCTGCACCCGGGCATCCATCAGCGCTCACAAGTAAGTCGGCTGGAAGGTGGGGAGGGAGAGGAGAGAGGAGCGCGGGCGGCTGTCAGCACGGGGGAGGGAAGGGTTGTGGTTGCACAGCACTGAGCAGTGGGATTCAGGTGATCAGCTACCACTTCTGTTCTCTCTAGCCTCTTTCTGGCTGCAGTGCAGAGGGCACACAGTGAGTTATATCCCCACAGTTTCACTTATCCCACAGTCCCCCTGCCTGCTCCCCCTTCCTGCCCCAAAGTGCAGCGAACTGCCAGAGGACTTCCATCTCCCCATCCTCCCTCAACCTGTGGGCTAGGACTGCACATTTCTCTTTCATTAAACTTCACTCCAGGATGTTTCACTGCCGAATCCTTCCTTCCCCCAGCCCACTTAAGACCTATGACCTTCCTCACCCTGCCAGTAGCCCAGAAAACCAAAAATCCAGGACTTCTCTACGTTGAGCCCTGGAGCTGGTCATGCAAACCTGTCCCCCAGCAGCGAGCTGACTCCCTTGCATGCCCAGCTGCCTCTGACCTATGGGCAAGGTTTGCAAATTTGTCCTTCTACCCTCCCATACTTCCGCATGTTCAGCCAAACTCTGTGCTCCTGTGCTGCCCGGGAGGGATTAGAGTGTCAGAGGCACAAGTGCTGCTCCTTGCTCTGCGTGTGAGGTGTTCCTGGGGCCAGACTGCTGCGCTTCCAGGCCGTGCTCCGTGGGTTTGGTAATTATGCATCTCTCTATTTGTTTCTATGTTGCGGTTATCAGATGCTCGGTGAAGCTAGTCCAGTCAATATTGTATTGAAACTCAATCAGATGATTTCTTTGCTGTCTTCCATTGAAGAAAAGGTAGAGTTTTAAAGCTATTTTATATTATCTTCTTGTCATCTTTTGCCTCTAGTTATGCTTCTTGTTCATCATCCTTGCAATCCTCTGCTACAGTAAGATTTCTTTGCTCTGACTACATTACTCTCAATGTAGTGCAGAATCACCAAATAGGATTTGGGACACATAAATTCTTTTACAGGTGAAAACACTGTTGATTGAAGGTCCTGATTCAACGCACCGGCGCTCCCTTATCCCCCCTGTCACTTTTGAGGTAAATGTACTTGTTTAACAATGCTGATCACAATGTGGAAGGACAGTAATGCAGATTTTTGTTGGTATCTCAGTTCCTGGGAACTTTGCTGTGCTGCCACAGAGATAACAGCTATTCCTGGATGCTGTTTAGCACTGTGTAAATGCTTAAGAGATGTCTAGTGAGATTGGCATAACGACGATATGTGTCCATGAATTCAGGCAAGTGTTGCATTTATAATACATGTGACTGAAGTGTAGAAGATAGCTTATGAAAAATCTCTCTGTTTTCCAATAGGTGAAAGCTGACTCCCTAGGAATTTTCTCAAAAATACATCTCAAGGTTGATGTGGAAATGGGAAAACTGATTATCAAGAGGGCTAAGGATGGTCCAGAAGACAAGTTTTATACCCACAAGAAAAGTAAGATGCTTAAGGTCACTGATGCAGGACTAGACTCTCGGTCCCTTGGATGATGGGGAGGGGTTCCCTTTGCCCCCACTGAGGGCAAGGTTTGGCCCAGAGTGCAGATATTTCTGCTAGGTCCTGGGTGTTTTGCAAGGCCCCGGTCAGTCTAGACTGCCTATCCCCAAAGCAGCTTGCAGAGACCAAGGAGTCAATAGTGGGGTAACCAACTTTCACAGATTGTTTTAGACCTGGCCTCCTGGTCTAAATGAAGGCAGGGGTAGCAGGACTGCAAGGGGACAGATTTTGATAGAAGATTCCCTGTAGAGCTGGTTGCAATAGACCCATTTTCTACTGAAAAACAATGTCACTTGAAAAAAAAACATTCTGCAGGAACATATTGACTTCTGTGATGATTTCTGATGGTAAAAAGCCAGATACTCAGTTTCAGTAACATTTTTCAGTGAATTTCCTTTTGATTTTTTTTTTTTTTTTGGTGTGTGAATCAATATGTCTACTGATGAGCAATGCTAGTTTGGTCTGTGAAAGCCCAATTCAAACAACTTCAATGTTTTTTCTGTTGTGTTTCTGGACAGACAAGTCACTGAGATTGAGCCAAACAGGATAGGATTTATCAGAGAGTAAATGATGCCCTTGGGATCTCTCCTGCAAGAAAATCAACCTGTTGCTGGAGTGATTGAAAAGATTAGTTTTCATATATGGCTTTCTCCAGCTGGTGTTCATAATTACTTAGTTTCTATTTTAGATGGGGTGGAATCACCTTTACCATCAAATGAGGTTTTACCTCCTCTTTCACAGATGGGGAAGGAATATATGTAGGCCGGCTCAGGACACCGAGAGATTGCCTGAAGGAAGCCAGGACTTCACTTCAGACTGCAGGGCTTGGTACGGACAAGAGATCCAGGCAGAATGAGTTTTGGGGTCCTCACTTCAGAGTCCAAATCTATTCCTCTAAGGAGCAGGAATAAGCAACATTAAAACGTAGTTATGCAGGGCAAAATGAGGCTCAGGCATAAAAGACCATGTAAGTCCTGAGCCTGTGAGCAGGGTTGTGTTAATTTTGGTGGGATTCTAGTTTCAGTGACCGCAGTTCATGACACCCAGTCTCTGTTTAGTCTTGCAGCTTATCAAGTCCCAGAAGGTCCCTAACAAACTGGTCATTGTGCTGGAAACAGAAAAAGAAAAAACGCAGCGAAAGGAATATGTTTTTTCTGATTCCAAGGTACGTACACAATGTTTCTTTCCTGCCAGCCTGGAGCAGGTACCTGGTGGGAGTAGTACAAGGGGCATTCCTTGGCAGAAAGAGGAATTGTTGAAGAGTGGTGGTTGGCTTTGCAAAAATGAAATTTCTCCTTTTATCTGGAAACATCGAGAAAGTGAACAAGTGTACTATGTAAAGGGAGATACCAGAGAGGGCAACGATACCTAGGTGCTGTCACTGAGGCAGGAGAACAGAGTGTCAGCAAGCAGTGAGGAGAGGCAAGGAGTCGTGTGTGGGTAGCTGCAAAAAGGTTCATATAGACAAGCAAGAGGGAAGTCTAGGCTTTCTCCTGACCAGTTCAGTACTTGTTAAAGTAATGCATAAGCTAAGTGCCTAAGAAAATACCACAGGAAAGACAGCCTCTTTGAAGGTTTTGGGATAGTGGGGAGCTGATCTGCCCTTTAAGTGTGCTGGGAACTTGCCGGTTCGGCTAGTTTTTCAAGAGATCATGTTGGAGGAGTTAAGCACCTCATTAATTGTCTCTGGTCTTCCTTGCCTAGAAGAGAGAAGGGTTCTGCCAACTTCTGCAGCAGATGAAGAACAAACACTCAGAGCAACCAGAGCCTGATATGATCACCATCTTCATTGGGACCTGGAATATGGGTATGGGCTCCCTTCTGACGTGGACGTTCCTTCAGACGCTTGCCAAAATGCCTGCTCACCTGCCACGATGAGCTCCAGACACTGTGTTTGTTCTGTAGTAGATCTGTACACCAGGGTTGTCTTTACTGGGACATGGGAAGGGCTGAATTCTAGGCTTGTTCTGGCATGTGGTTTGACACTTTTCATGGTTACAGTCAAAGAGTTGGCCCTGGAGGGTGCTGAAGGATTTCTCCAATGACAGGGAATTGTGACTGGCACAAAGCTGGTGCAACAGCGTATGCCATCCTCCCCCTTGCAGAAGGGGCAGGAGCAATTCCAATAACTGCACGTCAGCTGCTTCTGAACCTGACTAGGGATTGTTCATCTCCAGCCTGGGAAGAGAGCTGAGTATCTGCTATATTTAGAGAATGGGACAGGGTGTAGCTGTGGACAGTGGAATTTAAGTTATTTTTCCAATTTTCGGAGAAAAACTTGGTTCAACTGCTGTAAGCAGAGCTGTTTGTGCTCAGTCATACTTTAGGGCTAAGGTAAAGACAGTGTCAGGCCAGGAGTGCAGCTTCCTACCTTTACACTTGGCCTTGATAAGCTAATGAAACAGAGGAAGATGGTTAAAGCAGAGTTACTCCTTCATCAGTGAGTCAGGTGGGGTTAACTTCTTTGTCATCTTAGAATAATATGCCCTGGCTGATACAAAACTGATACAGGACAGACTGAGTGTGAAGCCTATTATTTCTGTCCCCATGGATTGTCTGTATCCTGGGTTTGACAGAACATACTCTGACTTACTTTGGTGTTTGATTTGTTAATAAAAGGTGCTGCACCTCCCCCAAAGAAGATCACCTCCTGGTTTCTCTCCAAGGGGCAGGGAAGGACCCGTGATGACACTGCTGACTACATTCCTCATGACATCTATGTGATTGGCACCCAGGAGGATCCCCAAGGGGAGAAGGAATGGCTGGAGACCCTGAGGCATTCCCTGCAGGAAATCACCAGTATCAGCTTCAAAGTGGTGAGGGGTTATTCCAGCTCCTGCACATAACTCAGGCATATGGAGGGAGTACATGTTGTGCAAATAAAAGAAAGGACTAAGTGGCATCATGCCTACACCTCCTCCCCTTCCCTCCCTTTATTGTCATAGCATTTGGATGAGGGAGAGTGTGCTGAATCTGTCTGTGGACTCCATGAGATCCTCCCTTGGAGCTGGCCAGATGGACATATTGCTATGGACAGTGACCCCCCCTCACAGCCAAAGCAGGGACCCTGCCATGAAGCTACTCTGCCTGCCAGTCTGGGAGCAAGAGGCAGATGCTGAGCACCTGAGTCAAGTGGTGGTGATATTTGGACCTTCATATAGGAGGAGACTGTAAAACTTACTGAGCCAGCTGTAGCCTAGATCTCACCCTAGGATATTGAACTTTCAAAATGAGATGTAACAGCAGAGAGGCACAATCATAAAAGAAACTGAATCTTAATAAAACCAGGTTTGGACATTCCTGAGTTTCAGTGATGTCAAGAAACAAATCTAAGCATATCTGGAAGGCAACAGGAGAGTGGGAGTTACGGCTCTCATGGTGATTGGGGAACTGTATTTTGTGCAAGCAAGTCAATCCAATGATTAACTAGAAAATAACACTAGAAAATAGCTAGGTCCCCCCTCCCACCCAACAGTTGAATAAAGTGACTGAAAGCATATCCTGAGCACAGGAAGAAAATTTGTGTAGGAGAAGTACTACAGAAGGAGTCAGGAAGGCTGCAACTGCAGTGCAGCTCCACAGGTATGTGCAGATATATAACCTCTAACCTCCCCATCCCTGCAGATAGCAATCCATACCCTCTGGAACATCAGGATTGTTGTACTGGCCAAGCCAGAGCACGAGAACCGCATCAGCCACATCTGCACTGACAACGTGAAGACAGGCATCGCAAACACCCTGGGTGAGGAACAGACCTGGTGTTGTCCAGAGGACTGAGATCTGTTCAGTCTGTGCCAATACTGTCCTTGAAATGGAACCGCGCTTTCTCCACAAGACTCCTTTCACTACATTTATTTGACACTAGTGGTACTGAAGTTATACCCCACTAGTAATAACTATATCTTACCCTGTCAGAGAGGAAATCTATTTGCGTATATACTTGTGTATACACATATGTATGTATATATACTTGTATTCCCAGGAAACACCTTTGACTGGCTATTGGATTGCACTTTCTTGGGTTTCACAAGGAAATTGGACTTCTTTCCCTTCAACTAAAATTTTTTTAACTTCCTTAGAAAATTTCCCACAATCTGTGCTGTATGTACTAATTCTTTCTGTGCTGATTAAGTCAACCTATTTCTCTTCTCCATCCTCCACTTAAGATGTGCTAGGTGCTTTATTATCTTTGCTAGGCTCAGCTCGGAGGTGGATTGATTTCTTGACATTTTTGGCTTATCTTTTTCCAGGTAATAAAGGAGCTGTGGGGGTGTCATTCATGTTTAATGGAACCTCCTTTGGGTTTGTTAACAGCCATCTGACTTCAGGAAGTGAAAAGAAACAAAGGTAAGATACATTCTCCCCTCTCAAAAATGGATGTTTTCCTAGGGTGAAATTTGCTGGGCCATATTTGAAAGGAGGGCCCACCAGGTAGTCACAAGCATGTTTTTTTGAGCATAAAAAATTGTTAGATGTCTCCTGGGAGGGCAACCTGTGCTAAAGACACTGCTCACTGTGCCACCATTTGAAAGAAAGACTTCTGCTGTATGGCCATACCACATGGTTGCAGGTGAAATGGACAGCAAAATTATCTCAGAGCCAAGTGTAAATGTCTCACACAACACCTGTGTGACCTGTCATGCCAGGCCAGCACATGAGGAAATGAGTTCCCTGATCTACAGTGTTTTGGAGAGATGTGGGAAGGCTTTTCCCATCCCAGAATAATGTGCTGAAGGGGACTGTCTGCCTCCTCACTGTAGGCAGTGCTGCGAGCAGGGGAGCTGTGGTGTGCCCTGGGGCACAGCTGAGAGAGATCCCGCTGTCAGGAGTACCAGGAGGGGGAGGTGTGTAGCACAGAAATGTCTCCGCGGTGGCTCATTCTCTACCGCCAGCTGTGAAATGAGTTTCCGTGGTCTCGGCAGGCTCTGTGCAGCACAGTACTAGAAGGCAAAGATCCCGACATTGGTGGGAGATCTGTGCCCCCACCGGGAGGTGCTGGAGCAGTTGGGAGGAGAGGACTTGAAATGAGGAGGTTGGCTTTGCCATTTTTCTCAGTCCAGGACCCAGAAAACAGATGGTGTGGGATTTCTGCACAGGGCCTCTGCCACTGATGGATTTAACTTCTAAGGAAGGGTTCCCCAGGGTCTGGAATAGCTGCCAAAATCTAGTTACGTGCTTGCTGCTGAAATCTGAAAGCAACAGTCTAATGCTGGGTTTCTAGGGCATGCGGCTCAGAAAAGCACAGCCCCGGGAGGCAACAAAAGTGGCTTTAGGACAGCTTTCCAGCCTTTCAGTTCAGGTGGAAAGAGTCTGACACCCAAGGCAGAGCAGCCCAGAGCTGCTGCAAACGCCGCTGTCCTCTCCCGACAGCAGGCTGCCCTCCTGCCCCCCGGCCACACACAGTCCAAGGCGCAGCGTGAGAGCCGCGCTGCGTTACCGGCTGCACCGAGTCGGTTGCCTCACCGGGAGGCACTGAGCACGTTCTAGGTGTTGAGCCGGATCGGTTCTTGCCTGGCAAAGCGGCTGTCCCTGCCAGCCCAGGCGTTTGGAAATTGCATGGCAATTTAGTACGTCAGGCAGATGTTTCTTGTCTTGACAGACGCAACCAGAACTACATGAACATCCTGCGCTTCCTGACACTGGGAGATAAGAAACTCAGTCCGTTTAACATCACTCATCGCTTTACTCATCTTTTCTGGCTGGGAGACTTGAACTACCGTGTGGAACAGCCCCCAACGGTTAGGGACTCTGCATGAATCCCTGGAGAGACAAAATAACTGTGTTGCTATAGAAGCGCTATCTTTTTCTGATCGAGGGTGACATGGCAGAAAGAGGGGAGGCTGAAGGGATCCCCAGGGCACGAATGTGACACCAGTTGAGGGAGAGTAAGGAGATCCCCTTTGCCCTCTCCGAGGGTTAATGGACCCAGGAATGGCGTCTGGCACGCTTTGCTGCTCCAGGCAGCATCGCTTCCCCAAACCTCCCAACTCTCCTTCCCACTGTGAGCGAGCATCTGTCCCTGAACAGCTTGATCCAGAGATTGCCGTTCTGCTCTGTTTGGTTAGCTTTTAATGGCTCAGAACAGGCCTTCAGAAACAGGCAAGCCATAATAAATACTGGGTAGGTTTCAGTAGGCGGGAGACAACAGCAAGCCTGGTGTTGATGTGCATCTGGTTGTGTGTGTGTATGCTTGTGTAGGGGATGTGTGGGCATTTTGATGCCTGTTTTGATAGACAAATATTCAGCCACACAGCAAAGACCAGGGCCTTTCAGTGAAGGGGAAGGTGGGGAAGTGGCAGGGGGTACAGCTCTGTGAAACGGTTCAGAGGCACTTGCCAGCTCACCGGTGAAGGGAGTATTTATAAGAAGGTTTTGCATCATCTGCAGCTCTGCTGTTTCCCTGTTGGCAGGAAGCAGAGAATATTATCCAGAAGATCAGGCAGCAGCAGTATCCGGAGCTGCTGGCTTTCGACCAGCTTCTCATAGAGAGAAAGGACCAAAAGGTGTTTCTGCAGTTCGGTAAGATTCTCAGTTTGTTGGCAGGTTCCTCTCCCGTTTCCAGCAACTTTCTCTGCCAGACTTAATGTGGGGCAGGGTGTACAGGGCAGCGGCTGTCTTGCCCAGATGAGGGTTCTCAACAGGCCAAACTGTAACAGAGCTATCTCTCTGTTTCAGAGGAAGAAGAGATTACTTTTGCTCCAACCTACCGTTTTGAGAGAGGTACCCGGGAGAAGTATGCTTACACCAAGCAAAAAGCTACAGGGGTAGGTGAAACCTGATTTCCCTTCAGAAGTATATAGCAGAGCAGGGAAAGTAACTCCTACAGAAGAAAGTGACCTAAACCAATCCCCATGTTTTCTGTCCTTGTAAGTGTTTTGAAAGGAGGCAATACAAACTGAAATATATGACACAAATACATGGTGCTTGAGCAAGTGAATTTCCTGTTCTTTTGTGAACTGGTCCTCTCCCTTCTTCTTGACATCACTTTTCCTTTGGTTTACAGATGAAGTACAATTTGCCATCCTGGTGTGATCGAGTGCTCTGGAAATCCTACCCTATGGTGCACGTTGTGTGTCAGTCCTATGGTGGGTAGATAACAGATTGTAGATAGCAAAGCAATCAGTCTGAAACGGAAATGATTCAGAGCAGAGTCTGTAGGATCTCCCTGCACTGCCAGGCACTCAGCATAGAGGGACCCGATGTTAAACCAGGCAGAGTGGATCCAAATCTCTCTGCCTGTAACCTTACAAGGTTGGGAATTAATTCCGTTATTCTTTTATATACAGAATACCACTCACACAGCTGCAGCTGTCCAGCTTTAGGCCACGCTGTAGGATCACTTTACACCAGTTATTTCTTGCAACAGCCACTCTTCCTCTGCAGTTACCACCAGGTGCTCCTTATTTGGTGGTGCCAGCAGGGCAGACCCTGTGTACACAGTCCAGTCTGCAGAGGCTGGAGCTTCAAACATCTCTCTTCTATCAAATCATATTCCAAACAGACTGTGTGGTACCAAGAGCCTGTTCCCTTTCTTGCTGAGAAATGTCACAAAAGTGCAGTGCAGGGAAGAGAGGAAGCCCACAAAACCTGTTTAAAAAAAGACTCAGATACTAATTCCTGAAATTTTATCCAGTGTACTTAGGACCAGGCATCTGAGTACAATATTGATGGTTTCCTATGCACGGGATGAGGGCTGTAGGAATATCTTGGGGGATAAGGTGGCCTGATCTGATCACAGAGCCTATGATGATGAGGTGTGTGGTCAAATAAGCAGCTCTAGAAAGTCTGTCATCTGCTTTTATACGCTGTTCTGTCGAACAGACTGGGCTTTCTGGGACTCAGTGCGCGCTTAGGTCAAGACCGCTCACTCACTGTTAATCTTGAGCCATGAGCTGCTCTGTGGCACTGGAGTAGCAGTGACTTCCTGCCACAGTAGAGCTTTAATTAGCTGTGCATGTTGCAGAGGCAACCAGGAAGGCTGAAACTGCTTATTGCACAGGGGGAATCTGACACTGACAGTCACTTGCAAAATGACATGGTGAAGTTGTGTCCGTTAACCAAATCTTAATGTATTTTGACAAAAGAGTTACATTTCTATTTACTAACATGAGATTATGTAGAAACACCTTTGACTAGAGACAGTTACCACAGCGACAGTGATGCTTTCTGGAAATTTACTGAATAATATTTCTATTGCAGCGATCTCACAGGAGCAGGGCAGAAACGCAGGGCAGTAACTATCCTCCCTTTCTTGTTGGCAGGCTGCACCACTGACATCATGACAAGTGACCACAGTCCTGTCTTTGCCACCTTTGAAGTGGGAGTCACCTCACAGTTTGTTTCAAAGAATGGTTAGTCAGGCTGGGTGCAAGTGTGCTGTTTTCGCCTTTGGTTATAAAAGGCAGTGCTGTGTATATGTTGAAATAAAAAGCTGATTCTCAAAGAGTCCACTCAAAAATGCCCTCTTTGTATCTCCTACTGAAAATGACATTATCTTCCCCTCCTCTTTCCTAGACTCCAAGTACACGGATTCCCAAGGGGAGATAGAGTTCCTGCACTGCTATGCTACTCTGAAGACCAAGTCCCAGACCAAGTTCTACATCGAGTTTCACTCTAGCTGCTTAGAAAGTATGTTTTTGCCCATCTTTATTCTTTCTGTCAAAGTTTCCTGCTTGTTTGGATTAGTTCCCCTTCTTCTTGCTTTGATCTAAATAAACAGCTGTGTAGATCACTTGTTCCAGTGCAAAAAAAGGGATGTCCTAGAGATTTGTAGTTTACAAGTCACCCTATACTGTCAGCAATACAATCCGAAACTCGCAGCCATTCAGCTGTAATCCATGCTTAGACATGTAGCCTTCCACCATCTCTTCCATCTTGTTTGGCAATCTGATCATCTCTTTCTTGGAGAGAAACGTGTTGCTCTTGCTTATCACATGGAAAATCTCTACTTAGCAAACGATTGATTAAATTTCTAATCATGCCTGCTGCAAATGATCAGGTGCTTTCAAAATAAAGCATCTGCATTATGCTAATAAAAATAATTTAATTACCCTGGTTTGAAAAGAGTAAGTCAGAGGATCAACTTAAAGTGAAGGGAAAGATAGTGATTTGATTCTGTAAATGGGATTGCGTACACACCAGTGGTGCAGATTTTATTCCCTGTCCCTGTGCTGCAGGGCCGAGTCTCAGCTGTTTATGTAATGCGAGCCTACATGCCCTTGCTGTGTTTTTTTTAAGCGATTCCCCATCATAGGACTGCTCCTGTAAGTGGGACAGCATGCCTTTGGTGTATGCTTCATCACATTATCGCATGTCAGAGCGCTGTGTCAAAGACGGTTTCATAAAAGATTATTTTTTGGCTGTATCAAAATTTGCATAAATTTCTATGGAAACAGTGTATTACGAATCTTAAATTAGAATTTCAAAAGTGTGCTATCTTGAGTGGCGTAGGAAGAGCTGTCATGTTCTTATCCTCCAGTCCATGTATGCACTGAGCTTTTCAGTGCCAAGTTTAACTGTAAAATAAAACCATTTAACAATGCTCCAGTAAAATCACTTGTAAGTTTACTGTGTAAACATTCACACAAAGCTCAGACTTTAAGCTTCTTAATACTTTTAAAACTAGTGTCCAAGTGGGAAAAAAATTGTAGGCCTTTTGGAGATTTGGCATCTGGAAGGATTTGTAGCCAAGTTCTTGCCATCTCTCTTCTGGTGAACTCCTTTGTCATCACTTCGCAGGTTTTGTGAAGAGCCAGGAAGGAGAAAATGAGGATGGGAATGAAGGGGAGCTTGTGGTAAAGTTCATTGATGCACTTCCAAAGGTAAACTGAGGCTAGGTTTCCATATCCATATGGAAGAGAAGCCCTTCCACTTGCAACCTATAAGCAACATTGCGTCTTTTCCTTATTTAAACATTACGTGGTTGTATTCTTGTTTACACTGAGAAGGGACTGTAAGAATGCAGGATGGGATTAAGCTAAACAGCGTATGTTATGAGCAGGAAAGGACTTTCTTGCCAGTACACTTGCATCTGTATCAGGAATTTTGCTGGCCTGATTATGTCACTCAGGAGCGTGACTTTTTTCTCACCTTTTTAGCGAACATAACTTTGCTGACAAGTCTTTTAAGCACGCTCATTTTTTTTTTTTTTAGTTTTAGATGGAAGATAAAACAGCTGTGCTGGAGTTTCTTTGCCCTCTGAGACAAAGACTTTTTTCTTGGTATTTTTGAGAAAAGTTGACTTAAGTATTTTTTACCTGTGTTAAAAAGATCATCAGTGGCCAGAAGTAGTGTCTGCATGTCAGTGTCAAGACAAGTGCTATCCTTGAGATTGGAGCTGTTCTCCATTTTCTGGCACAGTAGGAGCTGGAAGAGCTATCAGAGCTCTTGGATTTGGAGCAAATGTGCATGTCAGTGCCCTTCTGAATAGCCCAAAAGAAGAACTGTTGACTTTGGAAAGAGTGCCTTACACTGAGAGATTGGGGAAAGACTCTACAATAAGTGATTGTAACAACAGCTGAGCAGATTTTTGGGAACAGACTGTAATCAGAGTCCAGATAACTTCCTTCTAGTGCAATTTTCAACCCAAACTGTAGGAAAAAACTGCAGCTCAGCCCAATGTGAGTGTCTGATTTGTATCATTCTGTTTGCTGTGCTGGGAACGAGAGTGGGGGGGACTCTAAAAGTGTGTAGCCTTCTACCACAGATCTCCCAACATCATCAAAGAGGCTGATCCTGGGGGTGACACAATACCCTCATGGGTCTGTTCAGCTGAGTTTTACTCATTTGGGACTGAGCATCAGGGAGAACTGTGTTCATGTAGACAACCTATTGCATTGACTCACGTTAACTTGTCTTTGCAGCTGACTCCAATTATTTCAGACCCAGAATACCTACTGGATCAACACATCCTGATCAGCATTAAGTCATCAGACAGTGATGAATCTTATGGTAAGTGCTTTTCTCTAAAGTTCTGGATGAGTCAAAACCTACTTAGATTTTTCCAAACCTCTGAAAGAGTGGGAGAGAACAGAAGTAACTCTTGTAGACTGAACAGCTATGATGCTCTGACTTCTGGTTTAGAACTAAATGCATAGAAAAATACATTGTGAGCAATATTTTGTGAGGTAGTGATGATTAGAGGAATATGAACTAGAAGCAACAATCTGGGTGAGCTTTACCAGCCCCAAAAGAGCAGGGGCTTAAAAAGAAAGTACTTCACAGGAATTAAATCAGGGGTTGTTCAGTAAACATGGTTTATTCAGAACATACAAATCCTATTTCACTTGCACTTACTTGATGCATTTCTCCTGGCTACAGAAAAGTCATTGTCAGTGCTGCTTTCTTCCAGATTCTAACCAGCCAGAGATTGCAGTCCTCGTCCACAGAAAGCTCTTTGCTGAAATCCCATTAACTGAAATGGCAGTCACAGGCTTATGTTTTCCTTACCAGTAATGGAAGCTCAGAACCCTGTAGTCACCTGTGGCTGTCTCCCATGCCCAAATTCTTCACACATATGTGAAGAAGTGAAATGAACGCCCCTGATTTCTCAAGAGATCTTACACTCTTCACTGTGATCCAGAGCAGATTCTCTCCAGTAATCTCAGCCCTGTCAGCACAGTGACAGTAGATGACTGACACGAGGCAGAGATTTCAATGCCTTTTTTTCTCAGTCCCAGGCTCATTGTCTCCTTGTCATCCTCTAGGGGAAGGCTGCATTGCCCTGCGAATAGAAGCAACAGAATCTTTAGTTCCTATCCATACTGTGCTGACACACCATGGTGAGAAAACAGGGGTCTTCCAGGGTGAAATCAAGTTACAAACATCGCAAGGGAAACAGAGAGAAAAACTGTATGGTAAGGAACAAGACCATCTCTGCAATGCTCACTCTAGACAATATCCATCTCAGAAGATTTCTGATAACTGTCAAGGAATTGAAAATTATCCTTGCAGTGCTTTTAGTCCCAAAGAGGCAAGAGCTTTTGATGCCAACTGCAAGGAGATGTGAGTATTGTTAGTTCTCATGAGTATACCTGTACTCTTCCAGAAAGACACAGCAATTCCATTTGGGTTTTTCATCTTTCAAGTAAATTCGGCAGACTGAGAGAGCCCCCTATCTGTCACTGATACTGATTTCATTGAATGGTGGTACCTTATTTACACTTGCAGTGGCTATATGACAAGGTGCCAAAGCTCCCTCTGCTCCCGTCACCCTGGGGAACATCTACAAAGAGTGTGTGAGCTTCTCAAGAAGCAGTTCCTCAGCTAAAAGATCACAAACTTTGCTTATTTTCACCTCACTACCTGTTGCTCTCTTTCAGAGTACAAAAGCAGCCTCGTGACATTTACTATTATTGTCAATGGTAAAATGACCTGTATATAACTGTTTGGGGGGTCATGACCCTTGTAGTTCAAGATACACACTTCTTCCTATGTCAGCAAAGCATGATATGCACTAGTGGGCAGCTGAAAACATCATAGCAACAACTGTTTACAATTGTCTCACTGTCATTCTGATAGACAGAGAGATGCCTTAATACAAGCAGTAACACAGAAAACTTAGGGAATCAGACTCTGAAGCTGACAAAACACTCTTTTACGCCTTTTCTTTCCTTCAGATTTTGTCAAGGTTGAACGTGATGAAATTGCTGGGCAGAAACCAAAGAACATCAGCAACTTAGAGCCTAGCAAAGACTGGGATCAGACTAACAGGTAAAGGGCAAGTGGGTAAGTCACTGACAGAAAACTAGTTGGCTCAATAAACACAAAGCTGGGCTTGCTGTCACAGCAGTATTAATAGGCATGGTGAGCACTGGGAAGCTGCCTTTGTGGTTCTCTCATCAGGGCTGGTCAGTGCTCCTGTGCCCAAAGCTTCAAAAGCTGAGAATGTATTAGTCAGACTGGGTCCCTGCACCCCACTTAAAAAGGTCCCCTTTATTTCCAACAGAAAATCCAAATCTACTCATCTGATGGCCAGAGAGGCAGCAGCCATTGCTCGCTATTGGGGAAGTGCTTCCTCTTCTCCAGACAACCCAGGAAAGGAGGATATGTTACGGTAATCTTGCTGCTTTACCCCTGCCAGCTTGGGGTGGGAAGCCATGCTCAAGGTGCCTGTCTTTTCCTTTCCCAGAGTCATAGGATGCTTGTGGGAAAGGCTGTCCTTTCACTCCTGTTTCACAGGTGCATTTCTTTGCAGGCAGCTGCCTGTCTTCTGCCTGCTAGTCTATATGGGTGCACCTCAAAAGGCCAAATGTCTCTCCTATCGTTCCAGCAGCATATCCCTATGCTGCACAGGGCTGCCCGGTGCTGCGATTTGCCTCTTGTTTGGAGCTGTCCTGCTGCAGCTGCCAGGCCCAGAAACCTGTAAAAGCCCCTATATGTGGCTGAAGAAGCTGGGTGCTCTCTGCATCGTGGAAATGGAAGCGTCTGCCACAGCCAGAGGAACTATTTGGGGCTGGGGGACGTGGCCTTGACCCAGCTGCTTCCTCTCCAGTGACCCAGGGGAGGGAGGCGCTAACAGGACTCCCACTTATTCTCTGATTCTGAAACAACAGTGACCAAAAAAAAAAAAAAAAAAAGTAGGTGGTATTGAATCTCAGCAGTCAGTGGGCACTAACTCCTTTGTAGCTGGCAGGGAGACAAAAAAATAGATGTATTTGTGCATGTATCTTCCTAACAATATTTCTTCTCTTCAGCAGCTCCACTCCCACAGACATCAGCAACCCCAACTACCTGGGGATGGCTTCTTTCTCTCAGCAACCCTCTGCAACCAGCCAGCTTAAGCAGATACCTTCACCAGACCAGCCACCTTCTCTCTGGAGCTACGAGCAACAGCCCAAAGAGGCTACCTCTGTAATGGGACAGAGTCAGTCATCCTCCACATCACCCTTGTTGTCACCTCCATCTCCAAAAACATCCCTCCAGACTACAGTAAACAGAAGCATTTGTAGTCGGAGTCAAGAGTACCTGTGAGTCTTTGAGTTTTGCACTGGAGCTAGTTCCCTCTCCCCTGTCATTCTGCACAGTCACTGTTTCATTATCTGTGTGGAGGGTTCAAGATGCAGCATATTCCTTCAGTCTTTTATCTGTAAAATTAGGGAAAGTGAAGGTCACACATGCAGACATCACATACTCAAAGAAAACTAGTGTAGCAGTTCTTCAGACTTTAGTGAAAGGAAAGCCAAAAATAAACTTACACATATATTTCTCTACCAAGAGAAGAGAAGACTAGTACAGAGTTGACTGTAGTAACAAAGAATAAAAGGGAAGAGTGTGGCATATGTCTTTCCACTGGATGGGAAGGAGAGCTCCTTCACATGTCATATGTGAAGTACTTTAACTGAATTTCTGCTTACACTACTACACAAATGTCTGGCTTGCTATAGAAGTTAGTATCCGTGTGCTGCATCCATCACAGGTCTTGATGCAGAATTTCCATCCAGCAATTGAAAATACCCCATTCCTACCCAGCTTAGTACAGTGATGAGGCTACTCCATCCCAGTGCGTGTGTGCAGTCAGTGTCCTCGTTCCCTGCTTTCTGAGTCTAGGCTAGAGGTCACTGGTAAACGTATGTGGCACTCTGTAAGCCAGAACTTGCAGAAGTCAGAGCTGCAAGCACTGCCTCAGTCTGTTATGTACCTGACAATGCTTCATCGTGCTCTCAGCTCTTTGCTCCTGCATGTACTGACTTCCAGAAAATAACCTGAAGCAACAAACACAACTCATATGAAGACACCCAAAGAACATGTGCTGCTCACCCCTATTCCACGCTGTTCAGTGATCTGGCTGCTGATCTTCTAAGTCTCGTGGCAGTTCTCCAGATGAAAGCCTTGCCAAATCAGGTTGAGACATACAAAACCCACGAGACCTCCCTTGTCCCACTGTACAGCTGTGCTGTCGTTCCAGCCTGAGCCTCAATTCAAATGGCTCAGCTGCGAACGCACAATGATTGCCTCACCCTACAGTATATAACTATTACTTACGTGTTATGCATTTGGGTGCATTAAGGAGTTTTATCCCTTCCCTAGGAACACCATGTGGCAGTGGTAGCGAGAGGAGATTGACCTAGTTGTAAAATGCTACAGTGTGATGTGAGCTCTTACGTTAACTGTCCAGACAGCCATTTCAATCCTCTCTGCCAGATCTGAGGATTCTTATTAATATTTAAATTCAGATTTGTGCATGTTGCAGGGCCATCAAGGCACTTGGCACAGTCTGGCTCAGTAGCTTATCTATGTTTAAAGAGAAGCCAAGTATCGCTCCAACAAGACTATAGTCCAGCAGGGAGTTTATACAGTATGATGCATATCTTCTCTCAGCTGTCATGTTAATAATGATTAAACAAAGTAAAAACAATACACAGTTCTGTTCTTCCTCCCCTCCCCAAGTTTAACTGTTATCCTGTTACCCATTTGTACAGTCAGTTTAATTTTATAATGTCATTTCCTATCAATTTTCTCTTTACATCAGTGTTTCTTGCCTGCTCTTTACAAGTTTCCTTTTAACACTGCTTTGATGACTGTAGGCCACCTGAACTGGGGAAAACCACAGCAGAGCCTTTGCTTCAGGAGGAGGGACAGCAAAAGCCAGAGATGTTTGACAATCCACTGTATGGCTCGATGGGCTCCAAGGGCAAGGTGGTATCAAAGAAAGAGCAGGACTACCCCAAGGCCTTGCGAAAAGAGCAGCCGCCACTGCCTGATCAGAGCTGTCATCTCACAAAGTCACAGGAGCCCGAGTGCAGCAAGACCTCTGGCAAACAACCATCACCACCTTTCCTGGTCCCCACACAGCGATTTCGGTCCTATACCTGCTCTGGCCAATCCGAAGAAAAGAATACAGGTGAAAAGACTCAAGGCAAACCAAAGATGACTACATCATTAGAAAACTCAGCACCGCTCAAAAAACTAGTCAAGCCATCGAGGTCTGAGGTCAGCCCAAGCATCCAGGGACAGTTCAACAAGCCGCCCCTTCCCTCGAAGAGCCGGGCAGTGCTGGACATGCAGATCTCCAAGGGCCGAGACTATCGGGACAGTTCAGAGCTGCCACACTCCGGGAAGCATCGGACGGAAGAGGGACCAGTCGGCAGGACAACTACACCGGTGTGTTACCTCTGGGAATAAGGCAGGGTGGAAGTTTTATTAGACTGTGGTGTCACTGCAGAACACTACTAGTGTAGTACTGACTTAATCACTGTGCCCTCGCTCTGTATTCCCTAACCAAGCTCAGAGCACTGTCCCACAGACCTGCAAGGCTTGCCGAGCAGGAGATGCAGGGTTGTATCTTAAAGCAATATCGCTGCGGAAGATACCACGTCGTGAAATCATGGCATCAGTTTTGCATGAAGTTTTAACTTCTTCTGGACTGTTTCAGCTTGATGGCCAGAAGATGAATGCAAACAGTCAGCTACTTTGTTATTGCTTGATTGGTGCATACTCTGTTGTTTCTGAGAATGTCCAAACTTGGCCTGACAGCACCAGTATTGGCTAATAGATTTGTTTTGCTGTAATTAATCAAAAGATAATTAAAAGTAGTTATCTATGGGAAACACTTATCAACTTAGAATAGTGTCCAAAAACATTACTGAACCCTCTACAGAAATAATCACACGTCTACTTTTCTGGGGTAGTGGGTTTTTTGTTGGGTTTTGTTTGTTTGTTTGTTTGTTTGTTTGTTTGTTTTTCCCAGAGTGTCATTAGCTGGATGAGGAGGAGTAGGTGGAGGTCTTAGTAAATGGGTTTGGGAGAAAAAGAGAGCCCACTTGAGCAAGCTGTGGGGTTTTTTTTCCCTTCTCCATTAAAACTTTTAGAACTGACAGTAGACAAGCTGATGTTTTCTCTTCTCTCAACAGTGAAAACGACACAGCAGATGGCACCTTCGGAGGAATCCTGATGGGAAGAAAGATGGAGATTACTTCTTTGTTCATACTGATGTCCTCTGGTCTGGTTCTAAAAAGACTAGGGAATTTTATTTTTGAGGATGTATCCCTCTCTATGATTACGAAAATGTTCTAGCTGAGTTTATCCTATGTTGCTCAGACCAAGAGGAGCCAGGATCACAATACCAAATGCAAGTTAGCCTTTTGTTGTGTCACTTTGGTACTTCTATTAAGAGGCAGGTGGTTATGTACATGCATTAGTAAATATTTTGAAAAAGAGGAAGAAGGTACGGTGTAAGGACTAGGAGATGGAAGGGGTGTATTTAAAGAACCCCCTTTCCACAAAAGCAAAATTTTTATTTTGTGTTACAGAATTCCTATTGAAGAGTTGATATGTAAAAGAAAGCATTCTGAAAGCGGTACAGCTCCATAAGCATGTCCTATCCATGGAGCAAGGAGTTAAGGGAGGGTGGGAAAAAGAGTTTGAATAGCAGATACTGATGAATGTCACACACTGTCAAGGGAGCCAGCTTTGCCTCTAGTGTGAGCTCCCAGGCTGCACACATGCATTATTCATGTAGAGTGTGAGGGCTGGCCCTTGGCACTGTAGCTCTTTTTTTTTTTTTTTTTTCTAGCAGGTAGTGCTTTTGTACCCCTAACAAACAAAGGGAAATACCAGAACTACATGCAGAAATGGGAGAACAGGCAGGGTCCGTAGGCAGCCTAGGAGGATAGCTGCCTGAAGGGACGGACAGCAGTCGTTCCAGCCTGTCTTACAGCAAGCACTCTGCTTTTGAAGGACACTGGCCGGCTGGTTTTGTAGCATTCTTAATAGATTAATGCTGACCTTACTGTACACTTCTGTTCATTGACTGAGAATGAATAATATTAACATACTTGTAATTTCTGTTATATTCATGTTAAGTATTAATGCCATGGTTACAATTAGGCTAAGCCTGTTTGTGACTTAATTGTTGCTATTCTTCCTATGTTAAGTATTAATGCCATGGTTACAATTAGGCTATGCCTGTTTGTGACTTAATTGTTGCTATTCTTTCTATGTTGATCACTTAAAAATAATAAAATAGTCACCCTTCTGATCATTCTTTACTGAAAATTCAGAACTGCCTGCCACATGATTCAGCTTTAGCTGGGTGTTACACCGGCTCACTCAGCAACAGTAGTCCCTGCCCAGAAGAAACACCAAAGGCACTGAGGAGTGCAGGGAAGACACCACAATGCTGCTGCAATATTGCAACTGAGGATGCGTTTGTGTGCACAGACCCTTCGTGGATACAGCTGGTTTAAAAATTCTAGCACTTGTTAGCAGGTACAGTTGCTAATTGTATGAGTATAGAAAATGTACAGTAATTTTACTGGAGCAGAAGAGGCCAAGCATAGGCTTGTGAGAATGCATGGAAGAGGACAATCTGTAAGGTAGAAATCTTCTAGAGAGAGGTTTTTCTGACATGCAGGCTGGGGTTTCAAGGCATCATTACTGAAACAGCTGGCTCTCTAACCTACAAGTCAGCAAGACAGGCCATGATCTTACATTCCTCTTGCTTTGTTCAACAGAATCCTCTCTGTGTAATCCCCACAATTCAGTAGCTGTGCTATTTCCCTGGCCCTGGGGAGCATTTCACTTTTCTATTCCAGATTCCAGAAGAACTCATATGGCCACAGAGTAAAACCCTCCTGGAGCAGGTGAGCTTTCTGTCCAATATGGGGAGTTAGATCAGTTCCTGCTAATTCTGTGGTTTGTTCATGTATGTTCGGAGATGGAAATGTGACAGGCTTTCTACAAAAAGTCTTAACTTCTCAATAATGAGACAGGTTTCTGTGATGCTACTGTCTATCCACTGACATCCTAAGCTGTAGAAAATAATATATTCCCCAAAGTTTGCAAAATAAAATCTTGATATAAAGCAAGGATAGCTTCTTGCAAAAAATATTCTCCTAATTGGGAATGCTGCTTAAATTTGGCTCAGATGAGCAGAATTTGAGAACACTGGACGTACTAAGGCATCATATAGCATCTGAGTACTTGATTTGGCCTGTCCTTTAGAAAGGCATATTGCTGGGGGAGAAAAGAAGCTCTCTGCCAAATTTCTACAAGAAAAAAATACCTTACTATTCCCATGCTAAAAATGCATTACTTACCCAGATCAAGAGCTGGGTATGAATTATCACTCGTGGCTCCAAGAAGAGTCTGAGTTAGTCTCTATGACAGGAATGATGGCAAATGCAACCACACTTTTTGCAAGTAGAAAATGTTCACAAGAAGGCTTTGTAAAGGGCTTTCTGAGGCCTCTGCAGAAGAGAGTTCTCAGGTGAGCAGCTTAGATGTAGAGTGGTAGAGATGGGCTGATGCAAAAAAGTAGAGGGACACTGCGCAATACTTGTCTTTATAGTAAGACCAGCTGTACCTTGAGATGGTAGAGTTGATAACGCCAACTGTGGGAGCTTGCCAGATGTGAATATTAGAAAACTGAATTTAACAAATAAGTCTTGTGCTTATGTTTGTTTTGTTTTGGTATTACTTTCTGTCACAAAGCCTTTGAGATGAGCTCTGCTGGTTTTACTGCCCGTGTCTTGAACCAGGTGAAAGCAGGACTGAACACAAGCTGCTTCACTCTCGTATGTCCCTCGGCCCATGACCCTCTCTTGCCAAACCAGGCACATTTTCCTGCAGTCGATGTTATTCCTCAGTTAAGTTAGTATAGGCAGTGCGAATAGAAGACGAGAAGTGAAGGATATGAATTGTCCAAAAATTGACTGATTTCCCCCAGATGTAGTATCCATAACCTTCTGGTGTCCTTTAAATTCTTACAATAGCTGCAGTCTCAGTGTACTTATTTCCATGGAGACACATCTGTCAAAAATGCTTTAAGTTCCCAGCTACAGGATGTAATATTGTAGAAGACAGTAACTTTTAAAAATGCTGTTTCCTGCCTGCATTTGATGCATCTAACGCAAGCTTACTTGTCCTCTCAACTGTAAAACTATCACAGGGTTAAAGCTTTTTGTAAAATGTTGTAGTGGGCTATATATTTCCTCCCTGGTAAAGGTAGGGTCTTAAGGAAAATGGCTCAAGGAGGAGGGCAAATAGATGGGAAAAAAAGCAAATAAAGATGAGTTAGTCACTCAAAATAGCAAGGGGATAATTTTGATGTTGTTAGAAATAATGTTACTTAGACCTCTAGTCTGCTGGGGCCAAGCACTCTTTTTCTATATAACTTAAAACTAATCATTTAGTCACCGTCCTCCCATCTGTTTTTAAAATGGAAGTTTTTCTGGAATTTTTACCACATTTTTCTGTTGTCTTTGTGACAGCACAATTAAATTTGTCTATATTGTGGCTGAAGGGATGTATTGTCCAAAAATTAATTGATCCCCCCGCCCCCAACAAAGCTTCTAATTTTTCTAACATTTTCAAGGCTCAGATATTTGTGTATGACTGAACTGTGGGTGTCAGGGCTGGCTAACTGACCAAGGTGACACAGGGCAATTCCCAGAGATCTCCTAACCAGTGGCTCCAGATGGCAACAAATTGGTTGGAAGTGCACAATATCCAAATACTTACGTATTTCCCTAACCTCTGCCTGATGAAATCCACACTTTCCCCTCTAGGACATTTACTAAAGAGACGCCATCCCTACTCTTATTTGCTGTATCCCTTGACGATAACATAAATCAGAGATGCAGCAGGTGGACTGTGCATCAGGAAAATGTAGGTGATGGTTGAAGGCTTCTCTTGGTCTGCAGTAACATTTGACAGTGTGGTGCCATAATATACGTCTGCTCCATCTGCGTGATGCTCTTTTGTTGAGGCTGAAGTATTTAATGAAGGAGTCTATGACTTCCCTATTTTCAGTGTACAGCTGGAACTGTCTCTCACATAGCTACTCACATCTGCTGCCTAAGAGGTGCTGCAGTCGCCAGCGCGTTCCTGCAAGCGCCTCTGGAGGGGGCTCATTGTGCTACAGCCTCCAAACAGTCAATTCAGCGTGCCAAATTTCCCTAGTGTAGAAAAGGTGTGAGCTGTAGAGGTACAAGCTGTTCTTTCTATATATATATATAAGCAAACATCAGGTTTACATTCACATGAATCTCCTTTCTAATTCCACAATGTGTGCATGATGTTGTTGCAAATGTGGCTCTTAATGAGAAGTATTTTAGGATTGCATTTGTGTTAAAAGTTCTGAAGTCTCTCAGAAATTCTTTCACGGTTGAATCCCAGGTTGACAGAAGAGATATTTTTTTTTACTGGCTGTAATTGCTTATATTTTTTCTGATGCTTAATGAGATAAAGGACCAAATTTCCCTGAACTTATGTTCTCAGTTCATTACCATTATCCTGTTTTGTTATTTACAGATCATCTTTGGGGGTTGGACTAAGACGATCTTCCACTCAGCCTCAACTATTCTGTGCTTCTGTGATTGTATTTAAATGAAAACAGTCTGTGTCAGGGATGGTAATCTGCTACACATTACAGTTATTATTAACACTTTATTGCATTTTTTTTTCAAGGTCTGGACTAGATTACATACAGAATAAATTAAATTCTCATAGCACAAAGCATTAGATTATATCATAAATAATAAAGATAGCACACACCAGGCTAGTAAATGTTGAGCTCAGGAAGGAATGAATGAATGGGAATGGATGAAGGAGACGGGGTCCAGCAACAAGCAGAAAGGTTGCAGAAAAGCAAATAGAGATTTTGTGGAATGAGAGAGAATCCAGCAGAAGGGAGGTGCGTAAAAGCCATCTCCAACAGAAACAGGTCGACCCAGAGAAGGGAAGAAGGAAACACGGCAAAGAAATTGGAAAAGAAACAAGAGACCTTTGCAATAGAAAGGATGAAGAGTTATCACTGAAATTATGTCTGCTCCATACTTTACAGCAATTTGCATCTTCACAATTATAGCTTGTAAGCACAAAGAAAACAACCAGATGTGGCAAATGTTCGCTCTTTTGAAATGTAAACTCAAAGATCCAAAACAAAGCCTAATTTCAAAATGGAGCTTTGAATTTCACTTAGCCCTTGGGAAGGACACTGGTGATCAGCATCTTCCCAGAAAATGAACATTTCAGGTTCTAAGTCAGAAAGCAGTAAAGGAAGTAACTGAATCTGAGCCCAAACTTCAGTCTGACCTTGCAGTGGGCTTAAAGGGAAATGTCACATCAGAAACTCTTCCACTCGCCTTTCAGCAAGGATGTTTCATCACTCGAGTATCAATCACAACACAGCTCTCTTAGCACAGAATCTCTGGAAAATTAGGCTGGAAGGGACCCTGAAGAGACCCATGTGATCCATTCCCCATGCCAGCAAAGGGTAAACCACAGCATTCTTCACTGAGGGATGTTTTTACCTGTCCTTACATACCTCCAGCGTGGGAGTTTCTCATCCTCCTCAAGCAGTTTGTTTCAGAGCTACACTAGCCTTACCAGCCCTTCCTCATCTCTAGTGGAAATTTTTTGGTGAACTGTAAGCACTTTTAGTCTAGTCCTGTCCCCCACGAACAAGGTTATTTTCTTAATTTTCTGACACACGATAGTTACATACCACTCTCATGCTTCCCATCACCCTTCTTGTCTTTAGAGTAAACAATCCCAGCTGCCCAGAGCTTTGCTCTGGGTCAGTTCTATGTATTTTGGCCATTCCTGCTAGGCTACTTTGACACTCTTGATTTCTCTTGAAATGTGCTAGCTAAAGCTGGACATGTCTCTACTAGAAGCCTTGCTCTTGCCAACGAAAGGGGAAGGATCATTTCATGTCTCTTGCTGATAACAGCCCTGTTTATCTCTGAGATGAGGATTGCCTTCTTTGTGATGGTATGCGCTTGCTGACTCGTGTTCAGCTGGTGAACCAATACAAACCCTAGGTCTTTTTCTACACATCTTTCTGCATTTGTGTGCTTGGTTCCTCCTGCCTGAGGTAGTACCTTACATTCATCATGCTGCACAGCATCCTGTTTGTCAAGAGAATTTTGACCTGGAAACCGGCTCGCTGGCATGCTTGCAGTCTTCAGTCTGCAGCGTCTGCATGGGAAGATGCAGCTGCTGCGAGTGTTGGAGTGGAGCTTGCCATCAGAAACA